CCCCACCTCCAGTAAAATTTCGTGAGGATTCCAAGAAAATTGGAGGTATTACATTGAAACTTTGGATATGTTTGTGTAGTGACAGTTGTTTTAATTAAATTTAAAAAAAATATGTTTTCGAAAATCCGAAGACGCTTACAATTTAAAAATGGTCAGTAATCAGCTTTTTAGGAACAGTGTTTAAAATAATGTCTAACTTTTGCTATAAATATTATTTATATGTTTACACCCTCCACCAAAAAAGTATGGAGGGTATATTAAGTTCGTCATTCCATTTGTAACTCATCGAAATAATCATTTTAGACCCAACAAAGTATATATATTCTTGATCAGCGTAAAATTCTAAGACGATTTAGCCCTGTCCGTCCGTCTGTCCGTCTGTTGTAATCAACGCTACAGTCTAAACGAATTAAGATAGGAAGCTAAAATTTTGCACAGATCTCTCTTTTGTCTGCAGGCAGGTCAAGTTCGAAGATGGGCTATATCGGTCCACGATATCGTATAGCCTCCATATAACGGTACCTCCGATATTCGGTATTTTGATTATTTTAGCCACATTTTTCAATGGAATTGTCTTAAAATCCACACAAGTAGTTCCTTGTGAGTACTTTACCCCCTGAGAGAGAATTGTCTATACAGGTCCACGATATCGTATATCACCCATATAACGGTACCGCCGATATTCGGTATTTTGATGATTTTAGCCACATTTTTCAATGGAATTGTCTGAAAATCCACACAAGTAGTTCCTTGTGGGTACTTTATACCTCGGCGGAGAGTTATCTATATAGGTCCACGATATCGTATAGCCCCCATATAACGGTACCCCCACGGTATTCGGTATTTTGATGATGTTAGCCACATTTTTCAATGCAATTGTCTTAAAATCCACACAAGTAGTTCCTTGTGAGTACTTTACCCCCTGAGAGAGAATTGTCTATACAGGTCCACGATATCGTATATCACCCATATAACGGTACCGCCGATATTCGGTATTTTGATGATTTTAGCCACATTTTTCAATGGAATTGTCTGAAAATCCACACAAGTAGTTCCTTGTGGGTACTTTATACCTCGGCGGAGAATTATCTATATAGGTCCACGATATCGTGTAGCCCCCATATAACGGTACCCCCACGGTATTCGGTATTTTGATGATTTTAGCCACATTTTTCAATGGAATTGTCTTAAAATCCACACAAGTAGTTCCTTGTGAGTACTTTGCCCCCTGAGAGAGAATTGTCTATACAGGTCCACGATATCGTATATCACCCATATAACGGTACCGCCGATATTCGGTATTTTGATGATTTTAGCCACATTTTTCAATGGAATTGTCTGAAAATCCACACAAGTAGTTCCTTGTGGGTACTTTATACCTCGGCGGAGAGTTATCTATATAGGTCCACGATATCGTATAGCCCCCATATAACGGTACCCCCACGGTATTCGGTATTTTGATGATTTTAGCCACATTTTTCAATGGAATTGTCTGAAATTCCACAAAAGGAGTCCCTTGTGGACATTTAACCCCCTCAAAAAGAATTGACTATATAGGTCCACGATATCGTATATCCCCCATATAACGGTACCCCCGATATTCGGTAATTGTCTGAAAATCCTCACAAGGAGTCCCTTGTGAGCATTTTACCACCTCAAAAAAATTGTTTATATATGTCCACGATATCGTATATCCCCCATTTAACTGTACCCCCCGATATTCGGTATTTTTATGATGTTAGCCACACTTTTCATTGGAATTGTCTTAAAATCCCCACAAGTAGTTCCTTGTGAGTACTTCACCCCCTGAGAGAGAATTGTCTATACAGGTCCACGATATCGTATATCCCCCATATAACGGTACCCACCGATATTCGGTATTTTTATGATTTTATCCACATTTTTCATCGGAATTGTCTGAAAATCCACACAAGGAGTTCCTTGTGAGTACTTTACACACAGACATAGATTTGTCTTTATATCCACAATATCGTATATCCCCCCATATCGGCACCTTCCTATATTAGATATTTTAAAGATTTTAAAAGAATTTTTAATGGATTTTATTTTTTTTTTGAAAATTTTCTAATTCGTTCCAAATGGTGGAGGGTATTAAAAGTTCGGCCCGGCCGAACTTACTGCTTTTTTACTTGTTTTCTTATAACAGCGACATAAAAAAACACTTGGCGTAAGCAAATAACTCTGAGTGAAATGTTGGCGATAGTGAAACACTTCTCGCCGGTACGACTTAACCAACAACAATAGTAGTCATGACAACATTGTTATCAGTGACATTGTTGTTGTTAGCTTTTGAGTCATTCATCGTCTACATCATCATTTTGGCTTCTCTTGTAATAGCTAAACGATCGTGCCCTTTATTTCCTAACAAACGAACGAAACAAAATGTAAACTTCGGAGAAGACACATTTTGAAGTACAAACTTTATTATTTTACTGTAATAACGTGACACCTACACTTTGGGTCTATTTCGTCGTTTTGCTTTTCTAATCATCTAACCGCAGGTTTGGCATTCCGCCTCTTTAGCTCAGTGGTAGAGCACTGGTCTCGTAAACCAGGGGTCGTGAGTTCAATCCTCACAGGAGGCAAAATTGCTCTTTTTGTTGGAAAAAAACATTTTTAAAGGAGAAAAATGATTTTTCAGGTGGTAAACAAAATATGTTTTTAGGAAAACCCTAGTAAGATATCAGAAGTAAAGTAGAAATAAAAATCAAATGTCGTTCGTTGGTAATTGAATTGGTTTATAACGACTGAACCCACTTTTTCGAATAGTTATATTTGCAAAAAAAAATTAAGATATCGGTTTGAGAACTTTTGACTAAGTCTCCAAAACTAAGTACTTATTTGAGGGCGGAGGAACTGGTCTCGACTAATTTTTTAAAGCTATTTATAAATAATTGGTGGGAAAAATGTATAGTAAATCATCAATTGAGTATGACTTGACCGACTTGACTCTAATTTTCTCCTGTTGTTTGTAATTGCAGTTGGAAGGATTTTATTAAAGACCATTTTGATAAAAATGTCCAGAAAAGTTTAAAATTGGAAAAATTGAAACTTGTTTTTTGATGTGGAATTTTGTGTGTAACTGTTCCGGAAAGGCTTTTCTAATGGCAAAACTGAATATTCTTCTTGAATAATTAGGAAAATTTTAAAAAACCGCAGATTTTGTATGTTATTGTTGATATTGCTAGGTGGTTTTGGAAATGTGTACTAAGTGGAATTTATTTACAAAATGGTATTAAATTTGGTACAATTTGGTTTTGTTTGAATATGTACGAAAAAATTACGAAAAGTACTAAACAGTATTAAATTTTGTATTTGGGGAAGGTATGGAATTTAAAATTTAGTATTAGGATAATTTTTTTATTTACCTGGTTCTGGTCGGTACCGCTATATTTAACCACGTCAAAATTCGAAAATAAAAAAAAAACCTGAATAGTAGAATGAATATACCCTTATCGTATGAAGAGTATAGATGAGTTGTATATTATGATATGATACGGAAGTTACTCTTGGTGTCCGTTGTTGAGAGAGGAAGTTCGTTTTGCAGATTCTCACTATAGTTGCACAATATTGGGTAGTGAGGTAAATTAAAGAGTTGAAATCCTAAAATTGTATTTTAAGGTCTCTCTTGGTATCTGAGGTTAAGATGAGGAGTTTGTTTTGAAAATACGTACTATATTTGTTCGTAAAGTACAAAATGCTACTTAAATCGGTATAGGGTGTAGGAATAAACGGGAATCAACTCAAATTTGATATTTAGGTCACTGTTGTTTTCTAGGATTTAGATATGGTGTCGGTCAATTTTTATTATGAAAAGTTGTTCAAATAGTTTTACATATCTGTGCATAGGACTGTCAATATAAATATGAGTTTTAGCATAGTCTCCATATAACTGTATCTTCAGATATTTGGTATTTTGATGGTATGTGTCACACTACCGGAAATGTTTCAAATTTTCTATGGTAAGTTCCTAATGCTTACTACAGATTGTGATAAAAAATACCAATGCAGGTTCACGTCTTCGTATTGCCCCTGTATCAGTATTTACATGAGGTCTATACCATATTTTGATGACTTTAGCAATATTATTCACCGAAATTGTTTCAAATGTCGCATTGGAAGTTCTTAATGGGTACTACAGTCTGTGGCAGAAAATTGCTTCTGCAGGTCCAAAGGTACCTCTCAATATTCGGAATTTTGATGTTTTTGCGATATTATTCACAAGAATTGTTTCATGTTTCGTATTTGAACATTGTAGTCGCGTCTTCGTATAGGCCCCAATATATTCCCTATATTCGGTATTTTTATACTTTCCACCACAGTATGGAGGGTATATTAAGTTTGTCATTCCGTTTGTAACACATCGAAATATACATTTTAGACCCCACAAAGTATATATATTCTTGATCAGCATAAAATTCTATGTCGATTTAGCGATGTCCATCCGGTACCTCCCGATATTCCATATTTTGATGATTTTAGCGACATTATTCACCGGAATTGTTTCAAATTTGGTATTTGGTGTTCGTGATGAATACTACAGCCTATGACAGAAAATTGTCTGGGCAGGTCCACGTTTGGGTATAGCCTCCATATAGCGACATTATTCTGCGAAATTGTTTCAAATTTGATATTTAAAGTTCGTAATGGATACTAAAGCATATGACAGAAAATTGTCTGCGCTGGTCAACGTTTTGGTCTTTTTCTAGTTTTGCATATGAATATTGTAAAGGCTTATGACAAAAGTTGCCTAAGCAGGCCCATGTCGTCGTATAGCCCTATTTTTAACAGAATTTTTAACGGATTTTATTTTTTTGAAAATTGCCAGATTCGTTCCAAATGGTGGGAGGTATTCAAAATTCGGCCCGGCCGAACTTACATCTTTTTTACTTGTTTTATTTTATACGTTTTTTCAAAGGATTCTTTTGAAGATTTGCAAATTTCTTCCAATTTGTTTAAATTGATCCGCTCCCACTTACCCTCCTTGTCGCTTTCACCAACCGCGTGCAGGCTCGCATATGCCTCTTATAACAATATGGATGACAATAGCCTTTGTGCTGACAATAGAAATTATAGCTGCTGATTAAATCGATTACAGCCTTTAACCAGGGCATATTTTTAGCTGTTTCATCAGTTTCATTCGAATCGGTGGGCGATTCTGGTTGTTGATCATCACTTAAGATGCCCGGTGAACCATGATCATCTTCACCACCACTGGCAATACCCTGCTCGGATGTATCACTGCGATCCGATAGAGATGATACTTTACGTTTGGCTTGAATGGAATCAACGCGTTTAACTGAAAAAAGGAGATTTATGCTCTGTTATTTTTATATGGGAAGTCTCCATCTTTAAACCTACAATCAGTTTCCATATCTTTGCCATCTTTGGTATTGCGTCTTAATTTCAAAGAACGTCTTTTAAAAGATCCACCCGTTGTGGTGGCGGTGCCTCGTCGCAACAGGAATGGTCTAACGGCAGAGGCAGGAGGACGACGGGCTAGAAAGAAAATAAGGTAGATTTTTAGGTTCAAAGAAAAGGATTAATTTAAAGATCGAGGAGTTGTAGACCTTCTACTCGATAAGAGTAGGAGAGAAGGTGGGTTAATAATTTGGTGTCCGTTTGAACTGTGATTTTCGAATTTTGAAAAAACAACAAAGCTTGGCAGAATTGTATTATGTTTCTGTCGTTTTTTTTTTTTCGAAATTGAAAAAATGGCTGTGATATTCGATGTCTCTTACAATTTAAAACAGTCGTTATTTTCGAATTTATAACAAATTTCCATTTTTGGATTTCGAAAAACATTAGGTGAGTTGAAATGGATTTGTGCTAATTTTTTTGAAATCTTTTATCCGCATAAGTCTTCACAAATCAAGCACAACTTAGAACTACTTTTGTTTTTTTAAACCCGCAAAATCGAAATTTTGGCATATTTTCGAGATATCGAAAAAATTAAACTATTTACCCTTAAACGGAATAAATTAGCACAAATCGAGCACAACTTTTGTTTTTTTAATTCGAAAATTATAATTTTGTAACATATTGAATACAATTCAACACAGCTTTTATTAAAAAAACCTTTTTTAATCAATGCCATTTCGAAATTTCGAAAAAAATGTTGGCACTATTGGGCACAATTCCTCGCAACTTTCTTTTTTCGGAAAATCAAAAATTTCAATTCAAACGGACACCACATTGGATTCAAACACAAATCAAATTAAAGCAAATACATTTTTTTCTTTCGTTCTGAAATCGGACATTAGGTACCTTTCTGGGGAACATGTACCATTCATCCCATTTCACTTTTTGGCTTACCTTCCTCTCCCTCTTTGGTCAATGTCGTGTTGCTGCTATTCTCCGATTCATTATCCGGCTCATGTAGCACAAATGATATTTTCCTCTCCGTTTGTCCTCCAGTTGCATCATTGCCGGCCGCAATCGATTGTAGACTCTGAGCCGATGTCTGCGAATGACCCATAGAACTTAAAGCCATTGACCAACGACGATTTGCTTCACGGTATACCTTTTCCCAGGGAGCTGGTTTATCTTTGTGCAACAGTTTCGAGGTCTTCGGCAGCGTAACATAAATATCCCGCAAAAAGGCGGTAATTTCAAAGAGCAGAACGCATGCAATCAATTTCAGAGCGTGTGGACAATCATTGCCATGTGGATTCACTGAGGCCTCATCAAGGAAATCCTCCTCTTCGTCTTGTTGCAGAAGTTCCCGCTGCTTATCGGGGTCGGTAAGGCTGGCATTGACATTTTCATACTGTAGACGTTCGGTGAAAAGTATCTCCTCTAAACGAGCTCCCAACATCTCAGCCCACTAACGAAGTGAAAATAAAGATATTCGGGGGATAAAGTCAAATGTTAGTTGCTTGTTTCGTACCTGGTGGAACATTTTGCCAGCAGCTCTTTGTAATATGTGTGTGCGCCGCGAACTTGTGGTACCCATTTGTTGTTTTATTTGACTGGCATTGATATTGGCGCCCGATGGGCGGTAACCTGCCACGTTTTGTTTCATCCAAGTAGGCCATTGACCCTTATTGCACAAATGGACAAAATGGGCACATTCCAAGAGAAAAGTTGCCCGGGTTACCAAGGGAGCTTGGGGCTAAAAGGACAATTAATTTTGAAAAATCAATTGTTTTGAAAGATGTAATTCCACCCTACCAAATCCAAGACCGCAGCCACCAACTGAGGATCGGGAAATGAACCGGGAGCACAGGTTTCCAAAAGAAAAGACAAACGCAACATACCAATCCTAACCGGTTCTAAAGGTATTAATTTACGTTCCTTCAACACCACCACTTCGGATTCCCTTGGCCCATCACACATATCTGATGAACTTCGTCTACTATAATCGGCTGTTTCTTCTATGCCGCCCTGTTTCTTTTTACCCTTAACAATACCACCGAAACGATTTAGCCTTCGTTCAACTCTTCTCTTAGCTCTCTGTATGGAACGGCCGATGCCATCGCTGGATCGCCCTCTTTGGATTTTCAGCGATGGATGTCTGACAAATGTGGTGGACATTTCAGGATTAAGCGACCCAATTTCCAAATCGATGGAAGACGCTTCTTTGGGGGTCCCCTTGAACCAACGCACCAAACCACTCAAGCGACCAAGAGAATTTCTCTCCGAACTTGAAGTCGAGTCTGAGAGTAATTGTCGCTCACTGTGACGTGGTGTTAGGGTTGGTCTTATACCCGTGGTACGCCGTCGGAAATTGCTCAAGGGGGATTGACTGGTTTTGTAGTGCTCGTCACAAGGTTCGGTTTCTAGAAGACTCTGAAACGAGAAACAAGGATAAGTCAATTTTATTCAAAATTGTTTTATGGTTATTTTACCACAGCACATGCCGAGGATGTGCTTCTCTTTTTGAGCAGAAGACGTCTTTGAGAACGGTTATCATCATTTTGGACACTTTGAGCCACATCGGCTTGGGGTATGTGTCTGGAAAAAGAGTCAGGATGTAAATATATATATATATATATATATATATATATATATATATATATATATATATATATATATATATATATATATATATTTTAATTTTGAAAACTATTTAAATAATGTTCTCCCATTTAAAATATTAAACATTGAAAATGTTATCCGCATAATGTTTTCCTATAGAAAATAGTATTCGAATAATATTTTCCTATAGAAAATATTATCCGCATAACGTTTTTCCTTTAGAAAATATTATCCAGATATTGCTTTCCTATAGAAAATAGAAAATATCATCTGGATAACGTTTTCCACAGAAAATATTATCCGGATACAGTTTTCCTTTTGAAAACGTTATCCGGATAATGTTTTCCCATAGAGAATATTTTCGGATAATGTTTTCCTATAGAAAATATTATCCGCATAATGTTTTCCTTTAGGAAATATTATCCGCATAATGTTTTCCTATAGAAAATATTATCCGCATAATGTTTTCCCATAGAAAATATTATCCGCATAATGATTTCCTATAGAAAATATTATCCGCATAATGTTTTCCTATAGAAAATATTATCCGCAAAATGTTTTCCCATAGAAAATATTATCCGCATAATGATTTCCTATAGAAAATATTATCCGCATAATGATTTCCTATTTTCTATAGGATATCCGCATAATTTTTTCCTATAGAAAATATTATCTGGATATTGTTTTCCTATTGAAAACATTATCCGGATATTGTTTCCCTATTGAAAACATTATCCAGATATTGTTTTCCTATAGAAAATAGAAAATATCATCTGGATAATGTTTTCCACAAAAAATATTATCCTGACAGTTTTCCTTTTTAAAACGTTATGCGGATAATGTTTTCCCATAGAGAGTATTTTCGGATAATGTTTTCCTATTGAAAATGTAATCCGCATTATGTTTTCCTATAGAAAATATCCGCATAATGTTTTCCTATAGAAAATATTATCCGCATAATGTTTACCCATAGAAAATATTATCCGCATAATTTTTTCTTATAGAAAATATTATCCGCATAATTTTTTCCTATAGAAAATATTTTCATATTGAAAACATCCGGATATTGTTTTCCTATCAACTCACCTTATAACTCTTGTTGTTTGTGAAGCAGGTCCCTTCTTGTGTGGCCTCGGCGTTACTGCCAAAATACCACTAAGGGCCACCAAACGGAATGGTCCGCCATGTGCCCCCTTGACATAGGTTATAAACTGCCGGACATCGCTATACAAGCTGGTGTTTTCCACCGATTTCAATTCCTTGGAAGCATTAACAAATCTTGTCACCACTGGCTTAAAAACTGCGGCAATAACTTGAGCCTCTGGTCCGCCGCTTAGGCCGCCACTAAAATTTGTCGAATATCCACCTTGACCGCCTGATGAGGATACACCATTGCCAAGATCGGTGTTAAGATTTTTAAAGGCACTCGTGCGTTTATGAGCTATTATGTGTTCGTTATTCGATATTTTGTTGTTGTGTTTTGATGTTTTTTGTACAGATATATATGTGTGGATTGGTTATCGAAACGGTTAGATATAGACAGTGGCATAGCGAGAAGAAAAGATAGATATATGGAAGAAAGAGACAGACAGAAAGAAAGAGAAAGAAAGTGTGTGTTCGTGTGGGTGTTATCAAAACAAACAAACAAATAGATGCGTTATCGGACGGTGTCGTCGAAGAGAAAAAGATACAAGGATTGGCAGGAGATTTAGGGGGAACAAAACCGGTTAAAAAAGAGGAACCAAATAGTTTTAAGACAATATTTTAAATGCAATAAATATTTGTATGCTACAAGTAAAAAAGCCAATAAAATGTTGAGTACATGCTATCAGTTTTGAATTTTATCTGGACAACGATGATGTATGAACCTATCCGGATAAGATTTGGTAATGGAAGATGTTGTCTAAATAATTTTTTTATAAACTAGAATATGTTATACGGCTACGTTTATGTTAATACAAAAGGTAAAGCACGTTTAAACGACTAAATCCGCTCAATTTCAAATGTCAATTCCATATAGTATACGTCATGTAAATCGTATTCCCAAATCCAGTGGATATTTGGCGTATACGATATGGAATTGACATTTGAAATTGAGAGGATTTCGTAAACCTAAACGTACTTCCTTCTAAGTTTTTCTTGTGGACAATGTTAACGGGTATGGGTTAAGTTTTTCCGTATGAGACGTTTTATTTAGGGAATTTTATGCGAATAAAGCTTTCTAATAAAAATTTCTTTCCGAATAATGTATTCTTATATTCTTTTTGAAGAGGATTTTTATAGAGTATATAATTCAAATAAGATCTGAATACCCGAAGGAAAAGTTCATCCAGATGAGTTTTTATTGTAGACAATGTTATTCGGATAAGGCTCCCTTTGAGGATTTTTATACGTTTAAATCTTTTTTAAATTAAATCTAATCCGGATATGCGAATCCCGTATACAGGGTGAGATAAAAAAAAATGCAGCAACCTCAAACGCCATAATTTTTACATTTTTTTAATTGTATTGAATGAATGCAAAAAAAAAAAATGTCGGAAATAGCATCAAATTTTAGAATAAATTTAGATTTGTTCGAATTGGTCACCTTTGGCGCGAATTATGGCCTTCAAACGGCAAATGAAACCGTCACACGCTGCCCGAATGTTGCTTTGGTGTTTTTTAGTACCAACCTTGCTTTCCAAAATACTCCAGACACAATAGTCCAACGGATTGGTATCCGGAGATTTTGGTGGCCAAGCGAGGAGCCTCATTTTATAACCATTCTTGGGTGGCGCATGCTGAGTGCGATGGTGCTGAGTCCTGTTGGAATGTCCAAGGTCTGCGGCCAAAATGTTTGCATGCCAAAGGCTTCAACCGCTATAATATTCGCCATTTATTCTGATGGCACGGTCGATTAATACGAGCGGAGAGCGACCATCGGCTGTTATGGCGGCCCACACCATCTTTTGAATCTATTTTCTTTCTGTTGAGGTGTAAGTTTTGCACTTTTTCAATATTTGCCGAATAGAATATTACGATTTCGGGTTTCGATCAAGTAGCTTCTTTACTTTTCGAACCATTTTTGCTGATGTTGCTGTTTTCTTCCGTCCATTTCCTTGATGTCGGGCTACGCTACCAGTATCACGGTAACTAGCGATGGTACGAGACACAAAAGATTTATGCTGGAGTGCTCTAACGATAGCCACTTGTGGTTTTCCAGCCAAATTTAAAGAAATCACACCATCTCGCTTGAATTCCATCACGAATACCTCTTTTTCTGGAAAATTCTCACCAAAATGCTTTTGTACACTTGTAAACAATATAATGAGCTGTCACTGGTATAATTTTAACAGCAGTCGGGCGAGTGGCTTAGAAATGACAGCAGTCTGAAGTTGGTTGCAGATTTTTCATCTCACCCTGTAGCTATCTTTATATAAAAAAAACATCTGGCAAATTTTTTATTCGAATGATGTTCTTTTATCCGGAAAATGTTTTCTTAAAAAAAAATAATCCGGACTTTTTATTTGCTATCCCGATAAAGTTTTTTTCATAGAAAATATTATTATTATTTTCTCATACCAATGTTATCCGATTAATGTTTACTAATAATCTGCATAGGGATTTTTATGGCCTTTAACTTTTTTAACGTAAATGTAAAATTTTCATACAAAATATTTCATCCGAATAATATATTATGAACAAAAATGTGTTCGAATATTGTTCCACTGTCGGTTATTGTTTATTTTGAAAACTTTTGATTTACTCGTAGCAAATTAAGAATAAATTATATATATTTGCATGCAATTTGGTAATTTTTAACAACAATATTTTTAACTTTTAAAATGTATTGCAAAAGCATTTCCGAAGCAACTTAAAGCTCAGTGGAAGCAGCTTAATTTGAACATGCTAAATGTATTGAAAACTATTGTATCAGGTTTGCTAGTGTAATGTATGACAGGTAGTTGGTTATTGGCCGGGGGCATTAACTACATACTCATTGTTTTTTGTTGCCCAAAGTATTTGCGCGTAGAATGAATGTATGCAACTAATCTCAATGAATCAACATTTGAAATTAATTTATTTCTAATTTCTAATCTCTATCTATTTTTTTTTTGTAAAATCTTTCAAACTTACTTAGCGGCGATAACAATGAACTTGGATCCACACAAAATGCACAAAAAGCATGGAAAAAGTCCACCAATTCTTTGAGACCGGAATTTTTCACCATTTCCTGTAGATACTTCTTCGTTCGTTGACTGGCATGCCGAAGAAGACGTGAGAGAATCTTTTGGCATTGGCTGCGAAGGAAATCAGCGGGAGGTCCACGGACACCTAAAAAAACGAATTACATATTTGATACAAAAGGAGTCTATATCCAAAAAGCATTTTTTTATTAAAAACATTTTTAAAGGAAACCCTTGTAAAAATAACATTTTCAATGAGGAAATTTTATACGTGAGAAAATCTTATTCGGAAACCATTTACTATGAGAAACCCTTATCGAGATAAAATTTTCTATAAGAAAACCTTATCCGGATATTTTTTTTTAAGAAAACCATATCCCGATAACGTTTTCTATAAGAAAACCTTATACGGATAACATTTTTTATAAGTAAACCTTATCCGAATAATATTTTCTATAAAAAAACCTTCTCCGAATAACATTTTCTATCAAAAAAGCTTATCCGGATAACATTTTCGATAAGAAAAGCTTATCCGGATAACATTTTCTATAAGAAAAGCTTATCCGCATAACGTTTTCTATAAGAAAACCTTTTCCGGATAAAATTGTCTACAAGAAAACCTTATCCGGATGAAATTTTCTACAAGAAAACCTTATCCGGATAACATTTTCTACAAGAAAACCGTATCCGGATAACATTTTCTATAAGAAACCCCTATCTGGGTAAAATTTTCTATATGAAAACCTTATCCGGATAAAATTTTCTATATGAAACCTTATCCGAATAATATTTTCTATAAAAAAAAACCTTCTCCAAATAACATTTTCTATCAAAAAAGCTTATCCGGATAACATTTTCTATAAGAAAAGTTTATCCGGATAACATTTTCTATAAGAAACCCTTATCCGCATAACGTTTTCTATAAGAAAACCTTTTCCGGATAAAATTGTCTACAAGAAAACCTTATCCGGATAAAATTTTCTACAAGAAAACCTTATCCGGATAACATTTTCTACAAGAAAACCGTATCCGGATAACATTTTCTATAAGAAAGCCCTATCTGGGCAAAATTTTCTATATGAAAACCTTATCCGGATAAAATTTTCTATACGAAACCTTATCCGGATAATATTTTCTATAAAAAAACCTTCTCCGGATAACATTTTCTATCAAAAAAGCTTATCGGGATAACATTTTCTATAAGAAAAGCTTATCCGGATAACATTTTCTATGAGAAAACCTTATCCGCATAACGTTTTCTATAAGAAAACCTTTTCCGGATAAAATTGTCTATAATAAAACCTTATCTGGACAAATTTTTTTTTATAAGAAAACCATATTCAGATAACGTTTTTTATAAGACAACGTTATCCGGATGACATTTTCTATAAGAAAACTTTATCCGGATAAAATTTTCTATCCCAATATCATTTTCTGTAATGTTAAAATGTAATGTGTAAAAATGTTATGCGAATATTTTTCATAAGAAAACCATATCCGGATAATATTTTCTATGAGAAACCCTTATCTGGATAACGATTTGTATAACATCTATATATATAAAAATCAATTGTTGTTTGTTGGTAACGGAATCAGTTGAAAACGGCTGGACCGATTTGCATAATTTTTTGTACAAACGTTCGTCATACCCCGAGTTAGGTTTTAAAAGAAAAAAATATTGACCACGCCTCCTTTTACGCCCACTATTACGATTTATCTAAAATCTTTATATTTGCCAAAATAGTGAAGATATCGGTTTGAGAATTATTACACGAGATGCTGTTTGCTTTCCATCTAACCCTAAGTACTTATTTAGGGACTGAGAAACGCGCCTACTTTTAAATCTATCTCTCTATATGTAAAAGAAAATTGTGTTAGTTAATACTCTTATAACATAAAGACAGCCAGTCTGATTTTAACGATTTAGACAAATTCGGAATTGCCTCTTGGCAGAAAAGAAAAAAATCCAAAAAAAATCGCGTAAAATGTGAAATTTGAACATTTTCATTTTGACTTTTAAAATGTACAATAGTAATGTTTTATATTGCATATTTTTTCCATTTTGACGTACTATTTTCGAATGTACATTTGTAGTGTTTATTTTTTTCTTTTTTTTTTGAATTCTAATATGATGTTTAGGTTTTTTGGGTAATATAAAGCCACAACGGATAAAACTGTTATTTATTGATTTTATGTATTTAACAATTTTATCCGTTGTCGCTTTATATGAAAATTTTAAAATCGGGAAAAATCACATTTTTCAATGGAATCGAATTTCAAAATAATAGTACATTCTACCGACAAACTTCGTAATCACCTTTAAAAATTTGCCGCAAAGAAATCAGCGAACCAGTAGAATATTCTTTTTTTTTTTCTATATTGAAGAGTACATTTTTTATTGGTTTGAATTCTGAATGAATAATATTAAAAATGAAATGAGGGCGCCATACGATGTTAAATGCTTTCTACTCCAGGACCTACATCGTGCTTCAGCTGGAAGATGCGAACACATTTAAACAAACAAAAATGACCGAAGAAGCGTTATGGGGTTAATTTCAAAAAGTGGACCTGCTTCTTTCATATGACAATAAATTGTCAAATGAGAACACAAAATGCAAAATACATTGGGACTGCAATCAGTCAAATACCGACTATAAAGAACGCAAAATAGAAATTCTACCTTAACATTCAAGATACCTTTAATCGCTTTGGCAGGTCATGATATGGATCATAACCCCTGATAACGGAACAACCCGATTTCAAGTATATTCTACATTTTAACCATATTTTTCGTACTAATTTTAGCTCATGTTGATAATTTAAGAAGAAACCATCTTTGCAAAAAATTATCAAGTTTTGGTATCACCATCATATGATTTAAGGTATTTTCGGGGTCTTGGCCACTTTTTTCATTTTTTGGCTCTTATTTGACATCTTTGTTTCTAAGGGGGAAGAAAACCTCTTCTTATAAAATTTTTATTTTTCGGAATAGTGCGCATCTTAGTCTTGAGGCTACCTGGGTAAAAAACCCTGGGGTAGAAAATCATCTTACAGATAATTATCCTCATAGGAATTTATTTAAGTATAGTCCCCACATTAGTATACCCTAAAGTCCACTTTCCCAACCAATGTCAGGTCAGAAAAGAAAATTTGGTATTCTATTGAATTTGTAACCCCTAATAAAATATTGGTTGGGAACGTAGATTTGGGATGTACGTCTATATGAAATAAACTCCGAAATGTCATTCTGGGACTCATTCAGTCGGAAATTGTGGCAGAAACATGAAAAAAATACGAAATTATAAAGTAACTTTATTGGATCTCCACCGCACAATTTAAATGACAAACAATTAATGCCCATCTTACGGTAATCGGAGCAAAAGAGTAATTCTTTTGGCTATTCCGACAACATTCTGCCTTTAAGTATGAGGTGGACAAAACTGAATACCACACAGTAGGGGATTTTAAACGATGGAAATACAAATTTCAAATTATAGCTTATTTGAATGCTTTTTACAATATCAAAAATTGAGCAGAATTTTCACATGGGACTATTATAGATGTTCTTTATCATATAGGTATTTAACACTCAAATTAAAGCCTATATCTGAAAAATAAGATCAGGCTATTCAAAATATTTAAAACCGACGGTAATTATAACTTTTGCAATGAATATTAATTTATATTTAGTCATGGAGTCATTACTCATAATCAAGTCATTATTTATAATCAAAATTGGAGTAATTATAATGTCGTCATTACTTATAATCAAAATTGTGCCGCCTACATAAGTCAGATCTGTGATTTATTATGCTTTAAAGACTAAAAGTACGGGCCGGCAACGCGGACCGGGCCAGCTAGTTTCCTATAAAAAATCATTATCTGGATAATATTTTTTTTAAGAAAATCTTATTTTTCTCTTAGAAAATTGTTCCAGATTTCTTTTAATATAAGTTTTTGGATGATAAAACATTCCATCTGAATGTAGGTTTCATCAATACTCCCTCCCACTTACCATCATTGCAACCATTTGGACAGCCGAGAACTTGAAGGGCTCTTCTTATGATTCCCATTGAAATTTCATGGGCATGTTCACCCAATTTCAAAACACCCATTTCCAATAAAAGTTCACAAATATTTAGACCAGATTCCAATACTCTCAGCGACACTACGGTAAGATCCCTCTTGAAGACATTCAATACGGCCAGTAAAACAATTTCATAATCTATGCCACCATCACGGGTAATATAAAATGACGATCCGGGTGCTTCGGATTCGTCCACACCGGTGTAATCAATGTGAGAATCGGTATTGGAACGTAACATGTGACCACGAAAACGTGAACCCGCCACATTACTGCTGGACAAGCCAGCCATACTGCCGTTATAACCATTGGCTCCGGCCATACCACCGCCAATGCTACCACCACTGCTCAATGCATCCAATTGGGAATCAATTGAACCCTGAAATCAAAAATGAAAGAGTATTTGATATTGAAAGTGTACAACAACTTGGGTGGTGTGGCATACCTGTCTCTTCATATAATCCGGTGAGGGTGTGGGTGTATGTTCCGTTACGGTAATTATGGGATTCCGCGGATAAAATGTCGTCCTCTGACCCGAAGACTGTGATGACCTGATAACTTTAGGTGGTTCAACATATCTGTAAAATCTTCAATATTTCAATATTCCATTGAGGGGGGAATATAGGAAAAGAAAGCAACATTAGTTAACAAGGATGACATGATTGTGCAGGATGAGTTTTAATTTAATTTCTAATTGTAATACGTTAAGAATAAAAAGCTTATATACAAAAAGACCGTTTAATAACGCAGCAACAAAGTTCTACTTGGAACGAAATTTGTAAAATTTAAGTGGGAATACGAGGGTGGGTTTGGGAATTTTGAGGGACATTTGTGGCATTTGAATAAATAGAAGTGCAACAAACATGAGAAGCAAGAAATGGGCAAAAACAATTTAACGTAATTATAGTTGTAAATAATGTTTTTGTTGTTGTTTTGTAATTTTGATAGTTGGGACAAAAACGTTTGAAATATAACATTTTTAAGATCGGTTTGTCTATCTCAAATGGACAAAATGAACATTTTTAACGATTATTTTCGAAATTGAGAAATCGAATGAATTTAGAGAGCACAGAATGTGCTCTAGGACGAAAAAACAATACCCAATTTCGTCAATGGGACTTTCTTAATTTTTTGCGCAATACCAATTGAATTCCTCAAATTACATTGCTTTTCGAGATAGAAAAACCAATATTTAAAAAATATTTCATTCTTGTTCCCACATCGTTTTTTTCGATAGCCAATTATGTGAAAAGTTTCCCATGAATGGATTTTATGGTGCTGGTGTATGGGGTATGGTGTTTCATGTTTGCAACAGAAAACTGGTGTTTCTTTTATTTTCATCGAACTTCAATTTGGTAAACAGCACAACTCACCCGCTATCGAGTAGACAGCTGGTTTTTTTTTTGTTATAATGAAAAACATTTTTTTGTTGTTTTGGATAGGATACAAGTAAAAGAAAACGTGAAAGAAAATGAAAGCTTAGCTTTAGCAAAGGAAAGCAGATTTTTGTTGTTTTAGTGATAGAATCAGTGCAAAATTTTGTGCAGAGAGTGAGGTTAGGGTGTTTCATGTGTTTGTCGAGTTGAAGTTATTATTTTTGGTGTGTACTTGGAAAGAATATGGGAAATCTTGTATGTAAAGAATTCCTATAAAAAGAATCCTATCCTAAGACTGATTTTAACCATGTTGAAGATATGTTGAAGATATTACACTTAACAAAACCTAAAGGTGACATTCTATCATCAGAAAACTATGGGCAGTCTTCTATCTGTTAAAGGTCGATCCAAAATTATGCAAGGTCTTTCATCTATCTATTTAAATATAGAAAGTCTTTAATTACTAAATTCAACTTTGCAAAAATGTAGCTAAAATAATCAAAATAGGGAGGAACCGATTCATGAAGGCTAAACGGAAAACTATATTAACCCAACCGACAAAAATTAAGAATTTCAAGAAAAATGCTCTAAAAATAACCAAAAATTTACTGTTTTTATAGAAAACGTTGGTGGAGGATACCGTTATATGGATATTATTTTCATCTACATATATATGGATCTATATAGGCAAAGTTGTTCCACACGAGGTAGACACCATTATTGTGGTTAATATCATCAGAATACCAAATATCGTTATATGGTGGCTATAAGAAATGTTATGCCACAGGAGGTAGAACCCAGTACGAACTCCGTAGAATCCGTGCAAAAGGTGACAAATTATATAATGACGCTATTGGAAAACATGGAAATATACCGAGTATTTTTATACCCTCCACAATAGTATGGAGGGTATATTAAGTTTTTCATTTCGTTTGTTGATTTAGTCTGTCCGTCTGTGGAATTCACTCTAGCTTCCGAACAAAATGAATTTTACTCAAATGTATATTATGTCTGCAGGACTTTTGGTATTGGAAATGGGGCATGTAGGTCCACGTTTTGGTATTTTGATGATTTTAGCGACATTATTCACCGTAATTGTTTGAAATTTGGTATTGGAAATTTGTAGTGGATAATACAGCATAAGACAAAAAATTGTCTGTGCAGGTCTACGTCTTCCTACAACCCCCATATTTTCGGAAATTTAAAGCCAACATGAATGGAAAATATGGCCAAGACCCTGGCATCAACTAAAAACAGTGGGTGCATTTTTATAAAGGTAATACCAAAAGATGGACTTTTGTTGGTAATTCTTGGCAAACAGCGTTTCTAAATAAAAAGAACTCAAAATGCCAATATTTGGCAACGATATGATGCTTTGTTGGAGATTTTTGCACAAACTCACAAAATGTGAGGCTTTAACCATAAATGTGTTTATTATATATATGAGTTTCTGGCGTTTAGATAAGATTTAGACTCTTGACATCTTCTAAAACCTATCGTAGAATTTTATGACAAATTTTAACAGCCTGCGATGCCGTTTAAAGGTAATTTTTAACCATTTTATAAAAAGAGGAAAGAAGAGAGTTGATTTGATTGAGAGTTAAAATTACCGTAATTTTATCTGCAATGATGCCGAAGACACTACATATCTAAAATGTAAGGAATTTTCGGAATCTGATTCCTTATCTGATTCCGAAAATTTCCAACAGCATTGAAGAGGGGACAACTTGCCCTCTCCATTTTGGTTACTTTTCGGTGTAAACTTTCAAAATGCCGATACACGTGTCTTCTTTGTTTAGCTCTACTTTCATAATCTGCTGGACTTAACCGTAATTTTTTTTGCGTTGATTTTGATCATAATCTTCGAGATACGGACAATCAAGAGTTGCCGTTTTATGGGGACTATGCCTAAACGTGGACCAATAAACTCCATCTGTTCAATTATCTAAAATATTGTAACCTCTATCTTGATTTTAGTAGACGGACGGAAGTCATTAAATTGACTTAGAATTTTATAGATGAAAATATATGTATCAGTTATGTGGTCCGAACTTGGCAGATTATATTCTAATCAGATCTTGTTCTTGTGTTCCAAAATTCAAACTAATTGGACAAACTTAGCATGGTTGATGCATCATTAACATCAAATTCGAGGGAAAAATATATGGAATCTAAATGCACATCTCAACTGATCTCGGTTGAAAATGTATCTCTAGGCTATATCTGATATTTTTATTGGATATCAAAGTTATGGAAGCATATTACAGAATGGGAGGACTTTAATATTAAACCGTATAAAACATACATTCGGTCTTATGTGTTAAAATATACTATTTTTGGTCTTATATTACGCATTTGATGCACAAAACTCGAGCAAAAAAAGATTTGAGAGGTAAATATAAATAATAACCGATCGCCACCATTAATAGGGTTTGTTCTTGGTAAAAACAAATTGGATGGTCAAAGTTTTTTCTCAATCGGACAAAAAATGCGAATTGTAATTTGCTTGCAAAAAATAAACCTCCGAGAAACTCCCTCGGATGTGTACAAAGAGTGAAACTCACTCGAATTCGAGCGAGTGCGCTCCTGGGAGTAGAAAAAATCGTGAAAGCTCAATTTCAATACGACAGCATATTTTACAGTAGATTCTTCTCTTGCCGAGCACTCTTTTAGTTTTAGTCTATGTGTATTTCTATGCATGTGTATTTTTCTGTACAAGATCACACCACCTCTTCATCTCATCCCCTCTCTTCCCCTTTAAACATGAGTGCTTCAGGAGTGCAGACACACAAAACAAATGAGTGAAGAGTAAAAAAAATCACACTCTTCGAGCAATATTGCTCGCGAACAAGTTTCGCTCCCGAATGAAGATGAGCAAATATGTGCTCTGGCAAAATACTTATTCCCCTTTGGTTGGCGTAATCCATTAAATATCCAAGATTTGAATGTTTTAACCCTGATAGATCAAAAATAGTCACAAGTGTACCTATGACGACTGATGCGTTTTGGAGAAACTTTTTTAAAGAATTAGATGATCGACATCGGCCCACTCCTTCTGGTGCCTTCCCCACAAAGGGTCACAATTTATATATCTCAGTTGATAAAATTTACAATAACAGAGGTTCTAGAACTCTACCACAAAACGGTAAACAATTGAATTAACATAACTCAACTTAATGTTTCCATCAATATTAAACCAGCGTGAAGATGGGATACATTAATCAAGTCTTTACGAAAAAAAAAACAAGTAAAAAAGCAGTAAGTTCGGCCGGGCCGAACTTTGAGTACCCTTTACCATTTGAAAGGAATTAGAAAATTTTCAAAAAAATAAAATCCATTAAAAATTCAGTTAAAATCTTTAAAATACCTTATATCGGAAGGTGCCGATATATGGGGAATATACGATATTGTGGACCTATATAGACAAATCTATTTCTGGGGGTAAAGTACTCACAAAGAACTCCTTATATATATATATATATATATATATATATATATATATATATATATATATATATATATATATATATATATATATATATATATATATATATATATATATTACAACAGACGGACAAACGGAAGGGCATGGTTAAATCGTATTAGAATTTCACGCTGATCAAGAATATATATACTTTTTGGGTCTACAATGATTATTTCGATGGGTTACAAAAGGAATGACGAACTTCATATACCCACCATACTATGTATGGTGGAGGCTATAAAAATAAATGAATTTCGTAAACCACTTTAATACCATTCCATCAATAGTAAAACTTTGTGGAGGAGGGATTCAACGGTTCAATATTCCTTGCAATTCCTCAATATACAATACTAGGCGCCATGAGCTGTCGGGAAAACCAACTGGTACAATCTATCTACTTTGAATTTCTTTCTGGTTGATCTGAAAAGGATATTCCTTTCTTTTGTTATTCGTTATTTAATACTAGTTTGAATAATCTTCATTTTTGAGTTTGTATATTTTTATTTGTTGTTGGTAAGTGTTCCAAGGTCATGTTGTCTTAGGGGGGTACCACACAGATTCGGGGAGAAATATAACTGACTATAATTTTAATAATGCTTACCTCAAACTTGGCATTGATTTTCCTTTGATCAAGTTACTAGCTGGCTCTCTTGATATCATGGATGCCGAACGCGAAAGCTTCTTTTCTCCGGTATCCAAACTGCGATGATATTCCTGGAGATAATTGAAAATTTAGATAAAATATTAAATAAAATAAAAATAGTGTTAAGGTTGTAAACGAATACATTTAACATTGAGAAACTGAACACTGAACAAGAAACATATGCAACGTGAGTGTATAAGTAAAAGGGAGTTAATTGCTCGAATAGATTTCGTATAAGTTTTGTGATTTTAGGAATACTTTCATTTTTGCTGTGGGGAATAATATTTGGAGGTTCATTGCGGTGGAACTAATTAAATGCAATGCTGGATAGGAAACATTAAAAACAAGTCAATGCGATTTGAAGATATTTTCTAAATGTCACGGTGATAGGAACTGGTATGATACATTTTAATGAAAACGTTAAATATCTATGAAAATCTGAAATACCCAAATTCGTGTAAAAATATAATCCTTAAATGGCGTCCCGAATTCACATGGCAACCCGGCATTTGGAGCTACTTGATCTGAATTAATCCACTACCAGATAATGCAAGCAAAGTATCCTTGGTATTTTGAGTAAATTAAAAGAGGGGGGGGGGGGGGGTAGTGTGTTATTTCTTAAAAAAAAATCAAACATATAACGGGAGGTTTGTAAGTTCGAGCATCGATAATAAAAAGTTGTAAAACTTTCCCTTAACTCAACAAAAACTGTATAATCGGAATAACCCATTAAAAGTAAATTTCCTATAATTTGTTATTCTACAAAATGTTACAGACCAAAATAACTTATATTCCTTATATGAGTTTGAGACTCAGCGTCGGTAAACAAAGACAGATTATCCGCTACCGACATTCGATTCCTTCCTGCCCAAGCTACGCTAAGCTATGCATACTAAATCCTTTTTTGGGTTGGATCTAAAAATGCGAACCGCCAGTTGGAGTCATTTCGAAAGAATTATTTAGATTTAAAAGAATATTTTCGGCCTTAAATCTGCACCAGAAAATTTTCAAGGGTTTATATAAAACATTATAGCGCCGTGTAACTGCGCCATAAACTATTTGGACGAAATAATCGCCTGAAAACGGCAGAAATCATAAGAGTTGTTGGCGGATTTGGAGAGTGGGAATGTTGTACTGAACATGGATAAATATGTTTGGAAAGCCAGAGGGGTATATTCTGAGGTCACATTCTGTCTGACAAAGGCATAAATCTAGATTCGGGAAAAGTCGATATAATAATCATGAATTTCCGTCTACCAACCAATAAAGACGAATTAAGGAGTTTCCTGGATCACCTATCTAGGGAAACTCATAGCAGATCTAGCTGATCATAAGTATACGCTCAGGGATGTAATAAGAAAATATGTGAAGTTCGGTTGGGGTCAGTGGGTAGATGAAGCGTTTGTAAAACTTAAAAAACAACTGAACAGGACTCCACCGTTATCATATTTTGACCAAAAAGGCGAGCTCACTTATAGATGGCGAGAAACCAGCGGCCCTCAGAGCGGAATTACTGCAATTTAGCGACAATATGTTATAAGTCATATCGTTCGCGAGCAAAAATCTATCTGATACTGAACGTATACAAACAGAAAAGGAAAGTCTTGCATTGGTGTTGGGCTTCGAACACTTCTACTATTATCTGAGGGACATCGAGTTTGAATTATCAATTATCAAACAAACAACAAGCCTCTGGAAAAATTTTCAAATCTCGGAAAGAACGATAGGTGTTAAGCCTTCAGTCATCTATATTTAAAATAATTTATCAGGCTTGTAAATATAACATCGTCGATTCATTATCCAGATTATGCAAACTTGAACATATTACGTCTTTCGATCAACAAACTGAAATCAATATACGCCCAATAATCAAAGAAGCCATCCCATGAGTAGGGTCAATTTTTGAAATCGTAGAGAACAACTGGTTCGATTTTGAAGTAATGGAAGCGGTTGAAAGCATGAAAATAATTCATGGACATTGACTACATCCAATCGATATTTTCCGTCCCACTGGCGTTTTTCCAGAAGGACCGTTGTTATGACTGGCAATGGATCTGTTAGAACCATTAAAACACAATGATTTCATATTTATGGCCATTGACTATTATTCGAGGTAGCAAGAAGTAAAATTTCTAAAGAAAATTACGTTAAATAGGATAATCCATTTTCTGGTTGAGGTGTCACAACAAATATTGACCGTCAGTTTGTCAGTGACGAGTTTAGAAGATGGTGTACTAACAAAAGTATCAAAATCATGACGTCTCCATCCAAACGTTGAAGTAGAGATTATGAATAGTCCCATTGTCAAAAACCCGCGAATAACTCATAGTAATGGAGCGAACTAAAAGAAATTCCAAAGTTCCTGCTTATGTACAATGTCAGCCCTAATGGTACAACTGGGAAAGATCCAGCGGAACTGCTGTTCAAACGAGTAATTCGAGATGAAATACCATATATATTTTATGTCGTTAAAAACGTTTGAGATGCGGAAGGTACTACTTAGACTTAGGCGGACAAGTATCGCGGTACAGAGCAATCTGCTAATATTTCATTAGGTTTTCTAAACAAATATGACTTTGTTGATCTTCCAATCATTGCATTTAGTTAGTACCCACGGTGACTTGGTTTTTGGAGGGATTGGGACTGAAATATTTTTATCAAATGACGGATGAACGAATCAAAATGCGTAGCCTTTATGAGTGTTCATGCCACACACATACACATTTAAGGAAATACAATTAAATGCAGGAATTCTTTTGCAGGGTTAGGGGGTGGGGAAAAAATGTGTATTAACACAGAATTATTGGAACGCTTTGTATTTTGTATGCTTCTTCTTACTGCATGTTGCAGTGGTCTCTTGCCATTGGCTGAACCAGTATCTAGGCCTACTTTTTCCAAATTCTTTTCCGATTTCGAAAACATTTTCGTTTCGACGAAGGCTCGCAGATCGGACATTTTGACACGTTTCTTTTTCTCACTGCCGCGTCGCTCAGCTGTGGGTGATGCTTCTTCTGTAAGGAAAGGGAATTGAATTTTGGATTTTCTTCTTGAAAAAGTCTCTTTAGTTAGAACTCACCTGCCAAACATGCTGTAATAGATGGTTCTGGTATCTCAATATAATCCTTGTTTATGGAACTTCCGGGACTATCACGATTATTACTATTCGGTCCTTGATAAAGAGAAATTTCGATATGTGGTATTGGCAAGGAATTGGATCGTTTTCGTGGCTGATTTATGGATATGGCAGCTTCTTCGCCAATTTCACTTAATCTGAAAAAAAAAAAAAAAAAACAAATTCAATCCGTAAAAATGTTTAAAATTGAAAGAAAATCCATAAAAGTTATGTAACAAACTGGGGTCCAATTGTCTTCATCTTCACATACCGGACTTTGCTCTGTTCCAAAATCTACAATAATCTCATTATTTTCGATATCATAAAGGTAAAATGTGTTATTGTAGTAACATTTTTACACTCTTGCAGAATGTGGAGCAGAGCACTTGGATTTTTCAACGGAATACATACGACTGAAAGTGAGGTTTGATTTTTCATAAGAAAAGCAATATACCTCAGAAAGCGAGAATTGATTTATTTGAAGAAAACAACTTTAGAACCTTACCTATTATACAAATATTGCAAACTCCAAAATATGCCCTCCTCCTGCCAGTGTGATATAAATAGACAACGCATTACGCCCACATCCAAAAAGGTGGCTGCGGATACATCAGCATTAACACTCTCCGATTTATCCGATTCCGTTTCCCTTTCCATTGAGGCGCTGCGTTTTTCCTTCATCGAAGCTCCACGCATCAACTCCTGTTGATCAAATTCAAATTTCGTCGATGGCTTATCCTTATCCCTTGAGTGTATCGACTGGCGGCTACCACGACGACTTTGCGGCTGTTGTTGTGTCAGCAGGCTAGCATCGGCCTACAATGCCACATGTCATGTAAAAGAAAATGGAGAAATTTAGGAAAAATCGTATTCCATGGGTTCGAAAGTGATTAAGCATTTAACAATTACAGTAAAAAATGAATTGTCCATTAAATGGGAAGCAGAAGGTAAACGAAAAATAACAACACGTTCATCTTCAACACTGGATGCTTCTTCGGGTATGGTTTCGGGGAAAAATTCCTTGGGCGATGACACCCAAGAGCTCTAAAAACATTTAATATTCCAAAAAAAAAAAAAAAAAAACAATAGGTTATCGAAAGGAAACGAAAAACAAAAATACAAACATTCATATTGAAATTACACACATAGAAGAAGAATTTTGTTTTTTATATATTTTTTTAATAGAACAGCTTTTAGGCTTTAGCTATGGCAGGATATTTCAGTTATGTGGCACGTACCTCTTCATCTTGCCGTGTAGTGTGATCGGAGCCGGCACTTTGTGGTGAATCCGCCTTGGGCGACATGGCATCAACGCTTAGGGATTGTTTGCCTAGAAAGGGAGGGAGGAAGAGTGTAAGACATCATTTATGAGTGAATGAACTTGTGGAGGTTATATTTAATAGAGGTATTTTTAGGTTTTTAGAAGAATTCTTTCAAATATAAGTCTTATCTGCGTGGATCTTATCTGCGTAAAAGACATTATGTACATGACGTCCTCTGGGCAAAAGGCCTTTTGGCGTCTACTCCTGCAGAAGATCTTTTGGAGGTCTTCTCTGGGCAGAGGATCTTCCTAGCGTCTTCTCTGAATAAAAGTCATTCCAATATTATCTTTCAATAGAAGAACTCCCGAGGGTCTTCCCTGCGAAGAAAATCTCCCGGGGACTCTTCTTCGTAAAGGATCTTCCAAGGGTTCTTTTCTGTATATACAAAATACTGAGGTTCTTCTCTTTTTAGAAAACCTTAAAAAGCCAAAGAAGACCTGTAGGTCTTCTGTGGGTAGAGACCTTCAGAGGGTCTTCTCTGAGTAAAGGAAGTTTAGGAAGTCTTCTCTGCGTAAAAGACTTTCCGAGTGCCTTAGAAATACTACCAGGGTCGTCCCTTCTTAGAAAGAAGATCTTTTGGAGGTCTTCTCTGTACTGAAGACTGTCGGTAGGTCTTCTCTGGGCAGAGGATCTTCCTAGGGTCTTCTCTGAATAGAAGTCCTTCCAATGTTATCTTTGAATATAAGAACTCCCGAGGGTCTTCCCTGTGCAGAAAACATCTCGGGGGACTCTTCTTCGCAAAAGATCTTCCCCAGGGTCTTTTCTGCATATAAGAGCTACCGAGGTTCTTCTCTTCATAGAGAAACTTCAAAAAAGACCACTAGAGGTTCTTTTCAGCCCAGAAAAACTTCTGAGGGTCTTCTCTACGTAGAAGTCCCGCTATAAACACCTTTAGAAGGTCTTCCGTTCGTGGAGTCTTCCCGATAGTCTTCCTTGTACAGGAGACATCCTGAAGGTCTTCTCTGTATAACAGATCTTCCAAGAGTTATTTCCGCGTAGAAAATCTAACAAGGCCCCTCTTTGAAAATCTTAAAAGAGACCTTTCGAGGGTCTTCTTAGAACAGAAGAACCTTCGAAGATTATTTATGCCTAAAAGACCTATTGATTGTCTTCTCTGCCTAGAAGAACTCCCCTTCTAAGCAAACCTTTGAAGCAGACCTTCCCTGCGTAAAAGACCTGCCGAAGATCTAGAAGGTTTAGAACACCTTTTAAGAGTCTTCTATGCGTGAAAGACCTTCTGGGGGTCTAAGTTGAAGACATGGAAATAATACTTCCTAAGGGTCTTCTCTTCACTAAAAGAAGGGAAGTTTTATTTGTCCAGAAAACTTTTTGGAGGTTTTGTCTGTGCAGAACATCTTCTGTACAAGAGACCTTCTGGAGAAATTATCTGTGTAGAAGATTTTCTGGGAATCTTATCCGTACAGAAGACTTTCCAGAGAATACCTTCAGGAGATCTTCTCTGTGTATAAGACCTTCTGGTGGTCTTCTATGTGTAGGAAACCATTTGGAGGACTTATCTGTATGTATAGAAGACCCTTAGAAAGTTTTATCTCTGTGTACAAAAATTTTCTAGAGGTCTTCCTTACATAGACCATCTTCTCTGTGTAGTGGATCTTCTGGAGTCCTTCAGAAGGTATTTAGTGTATACAAAAGTATCTGTCGGTCTTTTGTATGTAGAGGAGTTTAAGTCTTATATGTTTAAAAACCTTCGGGGGTCTTTAGTGTATAGAAGACGTCATCTTTGGAAGTCTTTTCTGTCAAAAAGACCTTTCGGATGACTTCTCTATATACATAAATTATTTGAAGTTTTTAAGCACAGGAGACCTTCTCTAGGCCATCACTGTTTAGAAGACCGTCCATTACTTACGTCCGGTAAAAACATCTGTTGATCCTTTCGGTGTGGGAGCACACAACAAATTGCGTGCTTTTGGCTTCACCGGAGCAGTGAAGCAGGGAGCTCCTGGGGCACGATTATCCCACATGCCTTGCCACAATTTTATGCCATTTTCCAAGCGGCAATTTTGGAAATCCGATTCTTTCAAATGATGGATTATGGGGGCAAAGAGATAGACAAAGAGCTGAAAGACATTAATCCACTTTTTCATTGACCTCCAGCAAATTACTCTTCACAGACTTACCGTAATTGTGGGTACAGAAAATAAATATTGTTCCATTGACTTGCCCTTGTGATCACCATCGGTGACCAAGCCACCACCGCCGCCGCCAACCAAACCACCTTCATCACCGGCACATTCCTCGGCGGCATAGAGTAAAATCCATTGCATGGCATACAACAATGTTGTCTCAATTTGTCCTATGGCTTGCATGTCCTTGACCCGGTTGTGCAGCAAGGCCGATACACAATGCATGACATGTGGCAAGGCGGCCTGCAGTAGACGCCAACGTGGTATGGCAGCCAGGCCATCGGTCAGCGAAGGTGACAGACCGAATTGTATATTCAGGACAACGACTTTTTCAAAGGACTAAACGAGTGTTAAAAAAGAAAATATAGTTTTTGAAATAAAATCGAGAGAAATATAGAGAAAATGTTAATCTTACCTTACATGCTCCCTTCGATTCCTATTGTCCAAAATGTTTTCAGCAAAATAATGTATAATAAATTTAATTATTTTTTATTTTTTTAATTCTTTTAAAATAAGTCTATGAATGGTGGGAGGATTTGGAGTAATTTAAACACAAATATAAGAAAACATTTAACATCAAACATAAAAAAATTAAACATCAAAAAAGTTTACTATTCACAAGAACATAGAAGGAAATGGGGGTGTGTGTATAAAACAGAATAAAATATTATGTACAAAAGTTCAATTTAATTCAGTGGTGAGCAGTGTGGTATAAAAAACATAAAGGAGATTAGAAATTTGCTTAAAAATTATAAAATCCATATCCGCGGTGACTGAAAATTGAAATTGTTCTTTTATAATTAAAGATTTGTTTCAACACATTCATGGTAGTATGATTTTTATATCTTCCTCGAAATAATTTGCTTAGCCATGTCCATCTGTGGAGATCACTCTAGCTTCCGAACGAAATGAAGTAGGTTGATAACATTATATTCACATCTATTTTAGGTCCGTATAATTTTTGGTATTGAAAATGAGCCATATTGATTTTTCAGATATATATTTTTTTATTAGCAGTTTGTATTTTCAATCGGTAGGACTGTCCACATAGATCCATGTTTTGGTATAGTCCATATATTATGAAGACTTTAACCTCACGGAATAATTTCAAAGTTGGTACTAAGTGTTCAATAATTTCCGATCCGGATCATGAAATCAGTCTTGGTGCTTAGGCGTGTGATAAGACTGTTTTTTTTTTTTTTGGAAATTCGTACTAAAAGACTACGAAAAGAGAGAGTCTCTGGTGGAGTGCGTGATATATGTAGTAAAAAGTTCGTGGAAATTCTAACTTTCAGGTTACGTAAAGTTCTGAAATTGTACCAAATTTCTAAAATGTTACCATTTGGTATTATGTAATCGGATAGAGGTAAAACTTAAAATTTGATAGAGGAATAAAGGTTGAAAAGTAAGTTTAATATACGAAGGTTGTTTTGGAAATGTGTACTAAGTCTGCGAACTGTACAAAATAGTACTAAATTTGAAACATTTAGACTTAGTGTGAACGGATGTAGCTCAAATTTTGAAACTTTGTATTGGAGCTCCTTTTGGTAATAGGTTTGTACTTAAGTTATGGTTTTGGAAATGTGTACTCCAAGTGCATCAAAAGTACTAAATAGTACTACATTTGGTACGATTTGGTACTTATAGTACTTGAACTCTAAAATTTTGTATAAAGGTCGCTGTTCATGTGTAGCCTTGACACATGGAGGTGCTTTCGAAGAATGTGTATCATAATTGTACGAAATGTACTGAATGGTACTACGTTTGGTATTGTGTGAAGGAATAGAGATGCAATTCTGAAATTCGATACTGCGTTACAGGTGGTTCCAAAACTACCTCCATATCTACGAAAAGTAATAAATAATACCAAAATTGGCATTGGATGAAGGAATAGAGTTGAAACACTGAAATTTGATATAGATTTAAGTTTTGGAGTCTTTGGTTAATATATGGAGGTGGTTTTGTAAATGTGTACTATAATTGTTCAGTGGTACTAAATTGGGCATTTGTTGAAGCGATAGAGCTGAAATCCCGAAATTCAATATTGACGTATCTTTTGGTGTCTGGAATTGAGATATGGAGTTTGTTTTGGAACATTGTACGAAAAGTACTAAATAATACCAAAATTGGCATTGGATGAAGGAATAGAGTTGAAATACTGTGGTTAATATATGGAGGTGGTTTTGTAAATGTGTACTATAATTGTTCGAAAAGTACTCAGTGGTACTAAATTAGGCATTTGGTGAAGGGATAGAGCTGGAATCCCAAAGTTTAATATTGACGTCTCTGTTGGTATCTGGAATTGTGATATAGAAGGGGTTTCGGAAATGTGTACTATAGTTGTACGAAAAGTACCAAATTGTACTAAATTCGGTATTGAGTGAGGGGATAAAGATAAAAAATAAGAAATTTGATGTTCAGATTTTTTATGGGGCCTGAGTTTGATATTTGGAAATGCGTCCTATAATTGTACGAAAAGTACTAAATGGTACTAAATTTGGTACTGGAATCCTCAATTGGGCTGTAATCCTCAAATTTGATATTGAGGTCTCTGTTGGTATCTAAAATTGAGATATAGAGGTGATTTTGAAAATGTGCACTTTATTTGTTCGGAAAGTACTAAATAAAACTAAATTTGGAGAAGGGATAGAGCTGAAATTGTGAAATTGAATATTGTGATTACTGCTGTGATAGGATTGAGATATTTTGCAAATGAGTACTACAATTATTCGAAATTATACGATTTGGTATTGAGCGAATTAAAATCCCGAAATTTGAGCTGAGGTCTGTGTTGGTATCTCAAGTTGAGATCCGGTAGTGGTTTTGTAAACGCGTACTATATAATTATTCGAAATATAGTAAATGGTACTAATTTTGGATCACTTTTTGTGTCTAGGATGGAGAGACGTAGTTTTTTTGGAATATGTGTACTAAATGTTACTAAATTTGGTATTGGGTGAAGGCATAGAGATAGATATGGCTAAATCGGCCTAGCAAATCGGTATTACTTTTTTAGATCCCAAATTTCAAGGTTTGTTCCTGGAGTCAGGAGTAGGATTAAAATGGGAGCCTTTAATTTTTGGAAATAATCACAAAATACAAAAAAAAAAAACTGATTTTGCAGTCGCTCCAATGGTCACATAGACGAATTGACGCGGCCATTAGTTAGAGTTTAGGTCAGGGTAGATGCCTTCCATTTTGGATGGTCATCGGATAATATTTAATATTTATTTTAAGAAGTAGACCATATCATTTATTTGTAATTCTTGGAGAAAACGCAAATAAATAAAAAGCGTACTTCTCATCTTAACATTTAAGCGTGACATTTGGCTGAATATATTTGGGAATCTAAATTTTCAAATATGTTTTTTTATACTTATTGTGCCTCCGTTCTGAAACCGTTGGAAACCATCTGGCATGACTATATGACATATGGAGAATTGCTTACTTGTTTGAACACTTAAAGAAAATAATATAATTAAATAAAATTCAAAGTAAACCGAATAATAAAAACCAGTGATGGGTGTGTGTTTTGGATGGTGGTGATGATGATGAAAGTTATTCTTTCATTTCGGGTAATTATCTTTTTTTTTTGGGGTTTACCGCTGAAATGGCAACTTACATGGTGTCCCGGTGCATGTTGACAAAACTACATCAAACGTTATGTAAGACAGACACAAAAAATATTAAACTGATTTATTTTGTGTTTTGTTTGTTTTTTAAGTATTTTTTAAACGAAACTGGTGTTATAAATTTTGTTAAACGTTTTTTTTAATTTAATATTTTGTATTAGAAAAAGTTAGTCTCGTTTATTAAATTTTTGTTTTAAGCAACGAAAAACGTGGATAAATCAAAAAATATTAGACAATAATAAAACACTGAATATGGATAGTTAGACAAAATTAATACATTAAAGGCTGTTTTATAAGAAACAATTTACTTTTTATGGATGTTATTTTTCATTCAAATATTCCTAAAATTTAACAATGCTTGATAGTCCCTAAAACTGTTTACTAGAAAAATCTCAGAATATTTTGCCTGATACTGCTTAACCAAATTTTAGAAACTCTAAGATAATAGCCCAGATTGTTCCTGAAATATATTTTTATTAAAATATTCTTAAAAATGTATTATTAATAAATATTCTCCAGTCAATCTTGATGCGTAGACGTGAGATATGTATGGGTTTTTCGAATTTGTTCTAAAAGTGTACGAAAAGTACTAACACTTGAAATCTTAAATTTGGTATTAGGGTCTCCGCTCATGTGAAGCCTGGACGTATGGAGGTGTTTATGGAAATGTGTACTATAATTGTATGAAACGTTCTAAATAGTATTAATTTGATATTGGCTGATGGAATAGAGATATAACCATAAGTTCAATATTTACAGAGTGAGATAAAAAACTGCAACCAACTTCAGACTGCTGTCATTTCTAAGCCACTCGTCCGACAGCTGTTAAAATTATTCCCGTGACAGCTAATTATATTATTTACAAGCGAACAAAAGCATTTTGGTGAGAATTTTCAGAAAAAAATTATTCGTGATGGAATTCAAGGGTCATAGTGTGATTTCTTTATATTTGGCTGGAAAACCACAAGTGGCTATCGTTAGAGCACTCCTGCATTTAAAAGTGAATAACTTACACCGCAACGGAAAGAAAATAGACTCAAAAGAGCTAAAGAGTTGCTTAGCTTGACCGAAAGTTGTGAACTGCCGAATTTGGTTTTCTCCGATGAGAAAACATTCGTTGTGCAGCAGTTTGTAAACAGACAAAATGATCGTTTTCACTTGCCAAAGAGGTCAGCTGAAAAAGCGCCGGCTATGGTGATGGTGTGGGCAGCCATAAAAGCCGATGGTCGCTCTCCGCTCGTATTAATCGCGAAATGGGTGGAGGGTGTATTAAAGCCTTGGGCACGCAAACAGTTTGGCCGCAGACCTTGGACATTCAAACAGGACTCAGCACAATCGCACTAAGCACGCGCCTCCCAAGAATGGTTACAAAATAAGGTTCCTCACTTAATTTCCAGCGCACAATGGCCACCAAAATCTTCGGATACCAATCCGTTGGACTATTGTGGCTGAAGTATTTTGGAAAGCAAGGTTGGCACTGAAAAATACCAAAGTGTCGATCACCTCAAGCAAGCGCTTCGTCGGGAATGGGCCAAAATACCGCAGAGCAAACATTCTGGCATCTTGGACGGTTTCATTGGCCGTTTGAAGGCCATAATTCGTGCCAAAGGTTACCAATTCGAAAAGATCTAAACTTATCCTAAAATTTGATGCAATTTTTTGCTTTCATTTAATAAAATTAAAAAAAAAAATAAATTATCTCGGTCGACTTTGTTGCAGTTTTTTTATCTCACCCTTTATAGTACTTATGTTATATGTGTTTGCGAATTGGCGGAGGTTTGAAAATTCGTCCTGTATTTGTACGAAAAATACTTAATGGTGCATAATGAGCCCCTAAAAAGGCCAAACACTAGCTCTTGCAACGAATCTAGAATTTTAAAGTTGGTTTTTCGCTGCTAGTACGGGAATAGTACACTTGCTTGCTTACACTCAGTTTTTAAATTTCTTGATTATACACCTTATTGTCCTTCAGAAATATTACCAAAGCTTAAACCTTCAGAAAAAATTTTTAAAAAATCCTATCATTATTTTTTTAATACTTTAAATAATCTCAACTATAAACATTACAGTTATTCAGAAGATATTCCAATTACTAACCTGACTGTTCTTTAGAAAATATTCTTAAAAAATCTGCGACTATAAGCCTAATAGTCCTCAAGAAAATGCGATCGGTCCCTCTCAAAAATATATTCTTATTATTATTTTTTTTTATACCCTACACCACAAGGTGGTCAGGGTATTATGTCTTTGTGGATTTGTTTGTAACAGTATGTATTTTTGTAAACAAAGTACAGTTCGTATTTATTGCCCGATCCAGATGAAATTTTACACAAATCATTTGTTTGGCCCAAGGACGAACCCTATTGAAATTGGAGATAATCGGTCAAAATTTAGATATAGTTACCATATATATCTTCGTCTGATTTGCCTTTTATTGTGGACCAAACGTGTAATATTAGCTCGAATAGTATGGAATTTTGCATATACAACCAAATTAGGCCTGTAAATAAGTATGCCAAAATTGATCTAAATCGGTTCAGATATAGCTATAGCTCCCATATATATTGTTCATCCGATTTGTTATTTTTGTCCTCCGCAACCGTAATATGCACTCTGTAACAACAATATTTGGGGAAATATATCAAATACAGCTCAGAAATACATCTGCTAAATTTTATCGAGATCAGTTCAGATTTGGATATAGCTCCCATATATAACTTCGTCCGATTTGCACCAAACGTTTAATATTTGCCCAAATTGGATGAAATTTGGCACTTACGACCGAATTGAGTATAGAAGCTAGTATGTCAAATTAGGTGAAGATCGGTTCAGATACAACTATAGCTCCCATATATACTGTTCATCCGATTTGTCATATTTGTTACCCACAGCCGTAATATGCACTCCGTAACAACGATATTCAGGGAAATATATCGAATACAGCTCAGAAATATCTTTGCCAAATTTTATCGAGATCGGTTCCGATTTGAATATAGCTTCCATATATATTTTTATCCGATTTCAAATTAATTGTGCACCAAATGTGCAATACAATTCCGAATTTAAAAGATACAAATGCTTAGGCATATTTAGTCCTTTAAACTTTAAATAATAATTATAAACATAGCGTGTTGAATTGAATTATCCCATAAAAACTTTTAATTGTTATGATCATAAAAAACCATTTTATTTTTTTCTAAAATCCACAAATAGTGTATTCACAGTATAAAACTTCGTAAACTTAGATTTGGAAACTTTTACCGTATAAAACTGCCTTATAATTATATTAATTTAAGAAAAGAAAAAAATAATAAACATAAATAGCCGTATTTACAGCACATTGTTTTATAGAAATGTGTTTTCTGTCAAAGTCAATATTTATGTATGTACAATAACAGTTAGCTTAAATCACAATTAATTTTATTTTTCATTCATTTTTTTTTTTTGATTATTCAATTATAAAGTCATGTTTTTTTTTTCAAAAATTTTCACTTACCATACAACTGGCCTCATGCAGCTTTCCCAGCTTTGGCCTTATGAAGGGTGCAATCTGTTGCCAGAGGAAAGTCTGTACCGAAACGGGTAATCCCAAATCCTGTAAGCCATCATCCTGATCGATATCGAATTCATCGTTATTATTCGAATGATTATTGTTATTCGTTGTTGATGTATTGGTGACCATGTTTTTGCTTGTTGAGACTTTGGTGATTTACTTTAGAAAATCTTTTCGATTCCAACTCGGATGTTTGTCATATTAATTTGCATGATTTCAATTAGGGATCTGCAAAAGAGAATATTCTTTCGTTGATATTTGACTATCAATAAGTCAGGCATTGTTATTATTGGATCTGCTGGTGGGTATTAAATTTGGTATTGTTGATCACTAATAGTGTGTAGGACTCAGAATTGAAGGTGGTTATGGAAATACGTACTGAAATGTATTAAATTTGTTTTTTTTTTTGTTTGGTAAGGGATTGAGTTGGAAGTCTAAAATTTGGCATAAGGATCACTTTTGGTTGATACATTCCAGTGGATTTGGAAATACGTACTAAAAAGTACAATAAGTACAGATTAGTATCAAATTTGGTATTTGGGTAAAGGATGGAGATGGAAATCCGAAATTTGGAGTGAAAGTCTTTGATATTGTGTAGGATAGACAAAGTAAAGGGTTTTCGAAATTCTAAAAATACGTGCACCAAAATACTAAAATTTACTAAGGTTTGTACTCTTTGGAATTATGTGAACGGATAGTGGTAAAATCTTGAAATTTGGTATAACAATCAATTTTTGGATGTGGGGTCGATGCAAGGATATGGTTTTGTAAATGTGTAATAAGTGTAAGAACTGTACTAAATTTGGTACAATTCTGTTTTGGGTGAACCGAATAAGCTGGTAATTTGAGATATTGGTATTGGCGTCCCTGTTGAAAATGTGCACGAAAAGTAGATAATATTACTATATTTGGTATTAGGTGGACAGATAGTGCTTGAACCCAAAATTTGGTATTAGGGTCGCTGTTCAAGTGTAGCCTGGGCATATGGTGATTGTTTTTAAAATGTGCTCTATTATTGTACTAAAAATACTGAATGGTACTATATTTGGTATTGGGTGAAAGGGTGCATATAAAATTCTGAAATTTGATATTAAGCTCTCTCTTGGTAGCTGGAATTTAGATATGGAGATGGTTTTGGGAATGTGTACTATAAATGTAAGAAAAGTACTAAATGGTACTAACTTTGGTATTGGATGAAAGAATAGAGCTGAAATCTTGAAATTTGATATAGATGTCATTGTTAAGATATTTGATTTGATATAGATGACTGTGGTTAAGATATAAATGTGGTTTTGGAAATGTGTACTATAATTCTTCGAAAAGTACCAACAGTGCCCTCAATATCAAATTTTAGAATTTCAATACCAAATTTAGTAAAATTTAGTACGCATATCCAAAGCAATCTACCTCTCTCCATTCTAGACACATGTTACTGGTGCTTTGGATATGCGTACTAAATTTTATTAAATTTGGTATTGAAATTCTATCTTTTAATATTGAAATTTGACAATTTTCTGTCATAGGTTGTCATTACGAACTTCAAATACCAAATTTGAAACAATTCCGGTGAATAATGTCGCTAAAATCATCAAAATGCCGAACATCGGGAGGTACCGTTATATTGGTCTATTTGAAGGCGTCTATTTTCTGTATTAGACTGTAGTATCCATTACGAACTTCATATATCAAATTTGAAAGAATTCCGGCGAATTACATCGCTAAAATCATCAAAGTGCCGAAAATTCCGTTGAAAAATGTTACTAAAATCGCCAAAATACAAAATATCGGGCGGTACTGTTATATGGGGGCTATACCAAAACGTGGACCTACATGGCTCATTTTCAATACAAAAGTCCTGCAGACATAATATACATTTGAGTAAAATTTTATCAACATACTTCATTTTGTTCGGACGATATCGGGGTCTAAAATGTATATTTCGAGGTGTTACAAACAGAATGACAAACTTAATATACCCTCCATACTATGGTGGAGGGTATAAAATTAAGAGAACTGAAGTGGATTAAGGACTTTGTCTTTCCTTTGTCTTTATACCAAATAATTGATACACAAACTAAAGTTTTTCACTTCTCATTCCAATATGTCCTACCATTTGATGAATGGCTAACAAAAAAAAAAAAGTCCATTTGATATATTACCTCTTTTCAAATTAAGCGATTTCAGGATATTTGTATTTCCTTGCGTGCCTGACAAAATGCTATTAAAACAAAAGTGATTTGTTCAACTAATCACAATGGCTAATAAAAATGTTTCAGCAATTTAAAAGTTAAACGCAAACCTAATTCTGAAACCTATCCCCACAATTTCAATCAGACGGGTATGTAGTTGTGAGGTAAACATTCCACCAATGTAATATAGGATTGTTGTTGTGTAGAGACCGGCTAATTGAAATGGTAAGGATGGAGAAAGAGGGAGGGAGCAACAAGTGTTTGCGTGTTTTCACGCTCAAACATATTTCAAATAAATTGAAAGTTAAATGTTTGTGAGGATGTTAAAAGGAAATAGTAAATGCAGGGTGGGTTAGAAATAGGAAGTGATGAATGAAAGCATGTGATTTGGTAATACTATAATAGTAACCGGCTTTTAAGGGGGTCTATGATAGTTGAAACAAATGTTAAGATTCTGTTTATATATATCTTTCCCGTCAGCTGTAATATATTTACTGAGTTGTTGCTCAGATGCTCAAATGCTCAGATAATATTATGATAATCCCTCATCATCTTAAAGAGCTGCACCTATGCGCAGAGAGAAAACTCAGCATCCCAGCCACTCTCAGCTGTTCCACAATGTTTGTAAACAAATATTCCAGAACGGAGGAATAATTTTACGTTGCGGTTTCCAAAACAACAGCAGCGTTTACCCATATTTTCGTGCATATATGTATGTATGTATATACATATGTATGTCCATATTGAATTTTGGGTACCGCGTATTTGTAATAAATAATACATTTTTGGAAAAATATGGTTCAGATAAATACATTTTTGTGAAAAACTGAAAGTTTAGTAATTTCTCTCATCATCTGGAAGAGAAGCATCGCATGCGCAGAGCAAAAAATTCAGCATCACAACAATTATCAGCTGTTACTCAATGTTTGTAAGCAACTCCCTAAAAAAGATGAAATGTTTCAAGCTTCTATTGAAAGTTAAATGCTTAATATGTATATTAAAGGTTCAATAAATAGTTAATGTGTATTTTTGGAACTTCACGTTTACAGCTAAAACATGAAATCTGGCCAGTAAATCACTGCGGGAAATGAGGAAGAGATCTTAAAAATTGTAATAACGCATAAATTGTCCACCTATTCAATTTTTAAAATTGTACTTTTGGGAAATAAAGGGGAAACCAGAAAATTCCATCATTGTTAGAAAAAAAAATAATTAAAAAAATAAAATAATTTCTCGTTAGACAGAAAGTTTTTCGGTTCAATAAAGTAATGATATTTTTGTTTAAATACATAGTATCGATAAAACCCTTCAGATTCTAGGATTACTTTTGAATAGATGGATCAGCATAGAGCTTTTAAAACATTTGGGTATTTCTTTAAATCGACATTTTTGTAAAATTCAATGAGAATTTCACAAAGCAAGCTATGAGCGGCATTTTTGTAAATTTTTTAGGATATACCATTTTGTCCTGGCGCCTTTTTATACCCTCCACCATAGTATGGTTTGTAACACCTCGAAATATATATATTAGACCCCACAAAGTATATATATTCTTGATCAGCATAAAATTTTATGTCGATTTAGCGATGTCCTTCTGTGGAAATAACTCTAGCTTCCGAAAAAAATGAAAAAGGTTGATAAAATTTTACTCAAATGTATAAAATGACTGCAGGACTTTTGGTATTGAAGAGTTCGTCATGTAGGTCCACGTTTTGGTATAGCCCCCATATGATTGTGATTTAAGCTAAATTTGGTATTTGAAGTTCGTTAAGGATACTACAGCCTAAGACAGAAAATTGTCTGTAAAGGATTATGACAAAAGTTGCCTATGCAGGTCCACGTCTTCGTATAGACCCTAATATAACGCCTACATTCGGTATTTTTACGATTTTAACAAAATTTTTAACGGATTTTATTTTTTTTTGAAAATTGCCAAATTCGTTGCATATGGTGGTATTGAAAGTTCGGCCCGGCTGAACTTACAGCTTTTTTTCTTGTTATTCTTAGCCTAATACCATTGCATAGGCGATATGGGTCAATGCTTCTTCAAATTAGTTTTTGTACCAAATTTGGTCACTCATGCCGAATTTCATTGGAATCGGACATAGGTATCGTGTTTGGCGCATCAAATATGTGAAGTCTACCGAATATATATTTTATAGCTATATCATTGAAATTAGAGATACATAGCATGTTTGGTGCATCAAATACATGAAATTGGCCGAAAATGTATATGGGAGCTATATCCAAATTTGAAGCGATTTCAATATAATTTGCCAAATTTATTTTTGTTCCAAATTCCGTTACGCATTCCAAATTTTTAGACTGTTTCTGTAAAAAATCTAAATTTTTGGGAGGTACCTCCGATTTTGATGTTACATCTCCAGTTATAAGTGGAATTTTAAAATTTTATATAGCCTATGTGTTAATTTAATTTATCATGCAAGTTTTACTCATTTATTTGGTAATAGAAACGATTTTTGAGAAATAAATTGTGTAAATAGTACTCTGTAGTACTATATTACAGGGTCTTGAACACAACATTTATGTCAATGATATAAAATTGACTATCACTATGTACTTCCCGATTACTCTTTTTTTAAATTCGCACACCAGAAGCAATGCTTATATCAAATTTCTAAATTCTAGATCTACCCAGCGAATATAGTACTTTTCATACACTTTTGAATCGAAACCTCCTTTGGACTGCAAGTGTTGCTAACTCTTTGTATAGTACAATATAGTATTATATTGCAAGTCCGCACATTAACGGTAGTGCTCGTACTAAATTTAAAAATGATATATCCACCCAGCAGCAATGGTACCAAACTTAGTACTCTCCTTTTCCCATTTATCTATTGTCCATCCAATGCGAACAGCTTATTCAGTAGTTATGGTACCGTGATGGTTAGTTTATCATAGTCAAACCTGCATATAACAAGTAAAAAATATATTATTTGCGGCCGGATCGAACTTTCTATCAAAGACCTAAAATGGTAAAGACTAGACAAAATGCATTTTGAGCAAAAGGTTTGTGTC